TTACTCATCAATCACTACCCACTACTCACTACTGACTACTCTCTACTCACTACTCACTACTCACTACGCCCTACTCGCTCCTCGCTACTCACTACTCGCTACTCCCTACTCGCTACTCGCTACTCACTACCCACTGCCACTACCCACTACTCTCTATTCATCACTGTTTACTACGCACTACGTACTACTTATTACTCACTACTCGCTATTCACGACTCACTACTCATTACTTGCTACTCACTACTCACTATTCACCACGCACTACGCACTACCCACTATTCACTACTCACTAATCAGTACTCGCCACCCACTACTCACTACGCACTAACTCGCTACCCACTACTCATAACTCCCTACTCCCTACTCAGTACTCGCTATTACTCCCTACTCCCTACTCGCTCACTACTCACTACGCACTAACTCACTACTCACTACTCACCAGGGGGGGGGGGGGGGGAGGGGCGAATCCCCTCCCCTACAGGGGTGGGGGGGGGCGGGGGGTCCGGACCCCCCCCCCCCTTCGGGAACCTTCCCCCCTTGAGGGGGGGGGGTGGGCGGGGTCCGGACCCTCCCCCTCCTTGAAGGGAGGGAGGGGGAAGGGCGGTGGTTTCTGGACCCCCCCCCCCCCTTTAGTGCGTCCAGGGAGATCCACTGGCGCGCTTCCACAAATAGTAGCCAGACGTGGGCGACAAAGGGGAAGTGGCCCACCACCACCTGCAGGTTACTCTGCTTCTCGTCCAAGGCTTCGAGACCCGGTCCAGGTATAACGTGCAAATCAGTCCACGGAACGCGCGTGGCCTTGACCCCGGCGCGGCAACGCGCGAGTTGCGAAAACTACATATGCGGTGGTTCCACGCCAAGGAGCCGAATATGATATTCATCCTAACCAAGGCTGGTCTGGACAGCGTTAGGCCCAACTTGATAAAAGGCGTTTGCGACGCGCGCCGGGAGTGCAGGGTTTGGGAAAAGCCTGGGCATATTATCATGACGTCTACCGCGCGACCTGGCAAGTTCAACGGCGAGGTCGAATGGAATGCGACCTGATGCCCTGCATACAGGAGCATAACGTATTTCGCATAACCGACCGTTGCATTCGATGCGGTGCTGAAATCGAGATGCCGTATAGAAATCTATGATTCGCAATCTTAGATGTGCATCATCAGTGCTGGGTGCAATTCGGACCCGCCACAGTACTTACTCTGACGGAGAAGGTGCCCCCAATAATGACACCGCAGAGGCAGTCTTCAAGGCGAAGGGCGCCGAGCTGAGGACTCGTGCGCGTGGACAGCCCGCTGCGACTATTGAAGCCAGAAGTGGCACGTCACCACGCCTGCATCACGTCATAGAGGCGGAACACAATAGGTTAGACATTCCATGTGTTCGCCCGACTATTGCATGAGGCTCTGTTTGCCGCCAATGCGTTTACCTTCTATCATTGGGTACCTCCATGCAACGCACTGTTTGGCCGCCGACCTGCGATGTTACCTGGCCTGCCTGTCCTGGACCATGAATAACAGACTGAGGCATCCGATCGCACTCGAGAACAGATTATACGCCGGGCAAGCATTGCGGCTATCACCCAAGCCACTGCAATAGCTAAAACGAGCCGTGCACTACGGACTAGGACGACCATCGCTGGTCAGCATTATCATGACGAAAGAGATCTGGTTGACTACCATCACCCCACTACAGCGAAAGACGAATGGGGTAGCTAGAATGGAACTCTCCCGGTCGCACGGTACGATCCCGGGAGGGGCCAACATGTCATGGGAATTGGGAGTTGCGATGCAAGTTCAGTACGGTGACGCACTGCACTCGTCGTACATTGAAGCTCTGATCAATCGAGAGATTGTCTCGGGTAACGCAGCACTACGGACCGCGCTGGAATTTCTAACCAGTCCACCTGCGGGGCGACCTGCCATGACCTTTGGATACCTCCTGACCTAGGAGGGAGTACTCCAAATGACGAGCGCGAGCCGATTATTTCCTCAGGTGCATGTCGTACTTCACCAGGAACTTCTTTTGCATTGAAGACGTAGTTTCTGTTAGGTTGGCGAAGAGCATTCAACAGCTTCCTCCGTTGACGTACGTTGACAGCTGTGCATCGGTGCGCTATGACCACGACGTGAACCCAGGCATCCGCTACTACGAAGCCGCAGGGACGGCCCTAAACATTCAAGACAGAACTGGGTCAGCACACTCTAGAATCATCCAGTGCCTGAAGTCTACCAAACCTCCAGCGGGCCTCGATCAAGACGCGACGGACTTCGAATACTTGGCCGGCCGGCCAGCGCAAGGCAATGACGCCAGGGAGGCCCCAGAAGTCGAATCAACACAGGAAGACGGACGGCTTCCCACTATCTATGAGGAATCAGGGGTGGACCTCGGGGTACGCCATATGGGCGCGCGGCGCATGGAATTACAAGACGGAATTGTTGGAGGCATTTCCAGTAGACGAGCTCTATACTGCAACCACAGATGATTATTGACAGCAGCGCGCTGGTCACAGTGGCTGAAGAACAGCGGGGGCACCTGCCTACGTGGGGTAACCCACAGGACACATGCGCAACCGCGACATATCATGTCACAGTGTGCTCCACGGACGAATATGACAGTTGCGGATTGGGCTCTGACCAGCACGGACAATGCGTAGAACCTTGCTTCACGGCAGAAATGTCAAAGCTTATCCAGACACCAGCGCCAGATATTGGACTTCGACCGCGTGGCCACTATGCGAGTACACGTGACCGCTGCAGCTCAACGACCTGCAGCTGTCAGGGAGGGCGACCTTCTCACGGAGGCAGATACCCAGGCGAATCCAGTCAGGGTGTCGATAGCACTATATACTGAACTCAAGACATTGTTTGACAACAAGTGTCTCTAGATACAAGACATGCACACAACGTCAAGCATCATGACTTCGAGGTGCGCAGTTACATGGAAGTTCGCCAAGAACGAAAATGGGGAGATGGAGCGCACCATCAGATTACGCCGGGCACTTCGGGGCTTCATGGACCTCGAAGCCTTCGACGCGGAAGCGTTCTCAAGGGCGGCGCGGAGGTCAAGTCAGCGACTATTCGCCAGCGCGGCAGCGCGCAGGAAGCAGTGGACCATTGCTTCCTTTGACATCAACGCGGCTGCCCTGGAGGGATTTACTGATCAGGAACATGCTGAAGCAACCGGTGAAAAGGAACGCGCGGCGCGCTTTGCATGGCCACCTGGCTCGGCACCTGCGATCAAAACCCTCCCAGGATTCGAGCACTATGGTAAATCGAGACATTGCCTGCAGTGCCTCAAACCAGTTATTGGCACCAAGGATGCACCAAGAGCTTTCTCACTGAAGCTCAGGAAGACCTCGCGGTGCTTCGGTCTGAAACCCACGTCCCACGACAAGGAGTTCGAGACAAGCTCCAATCTTCTTACTGGCAAGCACTGCGATGATACCCGCGCCGAGCGCACCGTCGACAAGTGCGTCGAGTGCGTTGAGGATACCTAGAGACATGCAAGCTTAACAAACACACACATATACCAACTGCGCCGCGAGACATTTCGAAGGGCAGCGACGGCAGTTTTACTCTTGACCAAGATGAGCACGAAAAAAAGCAGCCCCGTCCAATCCAGCATCGCGAACGCACGGGCGCAGATGTTGAGGCCAAGGCGTCGATCATGGATGCTGACATGTTTGTCAGCCTCAGAGGCGTTTCGGCTTACGCCCATATCACGCAAGTGTGGTTCATGGTGCATGTTGCAAATATGCAACGTGTCTAAAACCGACCACCATGCAAGTGCGACGACTGAGCGCGATTTACCGGGAAGGTGCAGGCTTGCCCGAATATCAACTATCAAGCAATGGCACAAAAGGACGAGGTCGACCTGAGCAGCGATTCCGGCTACCGGCGTCTGAACGGAGATGTTGATGGCTAGGTCAAACGCCATGGTACTCGCGGGGCAAACTTGCTAAGGCGTGGACACGCCCATGCTGGCGAGCCCGTCGTCCATCTTGCCGACGCGCGTTGCGAGTCTCATCTCTTGCAGGCCCGCTCGAGCTACTCAGCGGAAGCACTTGCAGCGGCCCACAACTTGGAGAACTGCTATCCCACGATCGTCACTATTTGTGAACTCCACGCAGGGCCGCTAACGCCCACTCGACTGAAGCATATACTTGAGATGGGCGGCCGGATCACCTTGACCATCGACGCAGAATATGTGTGCAAGTCTTTGTCAAGCAAGGACCTGAAGAAGCTGACTGAGTGTACATGTTTGGGACACGTCAGTTGGATGCGACAAATGGTGGAGCGAAGTATCGTGCATTGTGCGCAGTGGTGCGACACTTGCGATGCGATTGCGGATGGCCACGGCAAGGGGGGCATCGACAGAGACATGCTGTTACAAATCGTTGGAGGAGCGCGAGCTTTCAAGCACGACCTAACATGACACTCCCTACAGTGCTGGCCAGACGAGATCTCATGAGCCACCTGAGGAGGAGTTATCTGCAGGGCGGCTTGCCTGCGAGGTAACTTGCTTACAAGGTAACCTGCACGCGGGTCAACCTGCCTTTGATGAGCCCGCCTGCTGCTGCCTACCTTGTGTATCAGAGCGTTTTGCTGTATAGTTGGTGGCGGGCTCACGCTCCGTCTCCTCCCCCCCGACTCTAAAGGAGGTTGGGCAAGGCGAGAGGTAGCGAGCGTTAGTCCGCGGCCGTTTGGGTTCAAGCGGCCGGCCTCTAAGATATAATGGCGCTTTATCGCAAGGCACACGATTTGCCATTGAGACCGAAAGCAGAGTCGCTTGACATGGCTCGTCTTTCCCGCGATTCTTTCCTGCTCTTGGGACTATCGTTACTACGGTATCACAGAGTTTGATATGGGCTTCGCCGAAGGCGAAGCATCTGGTTGGGCCTCCCGATCAGCTTCAAGTTAAGGGGGCCCGGCGCCGATCGGAGAGATCCGCGCGGGCCTCCGAAGGGGCATGCTTGTGTGCAACCTTGTGTTCTTCTGGAGGAAACAGCGCCCCCCCGGCACCCCACGGCGCGGCGGCCCCAGCACGAGGCGACGCATCAGAGCGCCTTCGCGGAGCCCCCGAGTGGCGGCTTCGGGCGGGAGGAGGCCGTCCTCGTCGTCGTCGCGGTCATGGTCGCCCCCGTCATGGTCGCCCTCCTCGTTGTCGTTGTCGCCCTCCCCGTCGTCCTTTCCTTCGAGGTCGTGCTTGTGGTGGCCGTCCTTGTGGTCGCCGCGGTCGTGGTCGCCGTGGTCGTATTTGCGTTGTCCTGGTTGTCGTCGTGGTCGTCCTCGTGGTCGTTCCTCGCCCCCGTTTTCGGGGCCGACGAACAGAAGTGGTGGGGTGGGAATGGGGGGCGTACGAAAGCTGCTGCGTGCAGCTGGTTTCGGCCCCGCCGCCAGGCACTTGCTCGACAATTGCATGGCCGCTTCAGGCGCTTGGGCACCAGCCGCATGCGGCTGGTTCGTTCACCCCTCGTTTGCTAGGCCACCCCATGTCGTCCAGCCCGAGCCTTCGACCTGCTCGTCCTCGTCCTCCCCCCTCGTCATCAGGCCGACGACGTCGACCACATGCTGCGACCGTGGGACCTCGGGGTGCTTTGAATAGGACGAGGAGGTATGAAATGGAATGGAATGGAATGGAATGGAATGATACGGTTTGGACCCATCGCCAAGCGACGAAACGTGACCCGAACAACAGGGTAGAGGGGGATGATCGGGTTGGCTAGGGCTAATTATTGGGCCATCTGCCCGGGTATATCCGACCGACATAAGATTCGCGAACAGGTGTGGGGGAGGCCGAAGTTTTGGACCCTAAAGACCGAAGCTGCACACTCCCATAGAACACACACGCGCTACAGCTGAGCCAAAGTTTGAGATTTGTGTGACATAACATGCTGTGACTAGGATGCGTGAAACCACCCCGTGTATGTATAGACTGACCCCTCGGCAACCTCAAGAAACTCGAGATGTGCTGAGGAGTGAGATCCAGACACGGGCTAGCTCTCCACTTGGTGAGGCCGTATTTCGCGGCATTGTCTTTACATCGCTTGCAAGAGCGCCCATCGTTCCAGAGCTGGCGATTCGACCGAAGCAGGACCACGGCAGCGGGGGAAGGCGGATGATGGCGCTCTCTTGTTTCCACGGTTTTCTTTCTTCTTCTCAGCTGGTACCGCATCGAGATTGGCACGTAGCAGGATGTTTCTGACAAGGCTGCTTTTGACCGAGCGTAGGAGACGAGCATCCTCAGCCGCCAGTCCTGCAGGCTCGTAGGCTGTAGTATTCCCCAGAACGATCCAGAGGGGATACGGGCCGTGGGCGGCTTTGGCGGCTGAGCAGTGAGACCGAACCTGAAGGACAACGATATCCGACGAGCCTCTGGTCTCTGCAATGTGCCGCAGCTCGCCCCACAGACTGGATTCTAGCCCTGCCTCCGAAGGTATTTTTTCTGGTACCAACCTGCACTGACCGACTCGTTCTCGGTGACAAAAATAGTGAAATCTTCACTGTGTGACGAAGCTCGAGAATCAACGCGGTCAGTTCGTCTCTGGGAACCGCTTGCTTCGGCCCTACCAGGGGACCACGAACAGAGACAGAAACCTAGAACGGGGAAAAGGAACCGATGGCCGCGACCCCGACCCCGACCCCGACCCTCCTGAGACGACTGTCGCGGGAGTCCTTGCCCCCGCCGGCGTCGCCGAACAGAACAAGAGGGGTCTCGTGCCACTTTCCTTCCACATGGGCTCATTAGGGGGCTCGGGGACCTCAGTCCAAGTCGCTGACAAAATGCCGCGCAATCGAAACAGGCTTCAGACTCGTGCTGTGCAAGGGCCTGGGGGAGGAGGGGGTCCGAGTTGGAGGAGGAGGAGGAACCGGAGATGCACCGGCAGGCCCACGCTCGATGGAAGGCCGGCTCGGGTGCCTCTCCACATTTGGCGCAGTCCACCGACTCAGCCCCGCCAACTTCGTCCGCAATCCTCTGGCGAGGCCACGTGCCCCAAGCACCTATTCGCAACATGTGCTCCGCTAGTTGATGGCACTTTGGGGCTGGTTCGAGAGCTCTGAGCAGGTATTCGTAGCGGAAATTGTCGGCCCCACCTTGGAGACCCTCACCACAAGAATGATTGACGCCGTGTTCCAAAGCCCAGTCCTGATCGTGCGCTCGACCTCCCACCAGACGAGAGGAGACGTCGTCGTGACGGCCTCACTGATCAAACATTGAAAGCTTCGCGACTGGCATCTCCCACCTGCCTGGTGCCCCAGTCGGTGGGGCTCACTGGGTCCCAGCCTTCTTGCAAGTACGCCACAACGTGCCGACCACGGGCCACGGGCGTGCGTGGAGCGGGCTTGGGGAGGGAGAGAGGAGGGCTTCGAGACAACCTCGGGCCAGGCACGAACGATGGTAGCACGAGTAATGACGCGCCTCCGATTGTCAAGGGGCCTGCCAGAGTCTCAAGCAAGTCGACGGCAGCCAGTACCCTGGGTCCATGTGCGGACACCTGAGGTCCAGGACTGGTGTGAGGCATCTGCCTCTGCGCGCAGACGAAGAGACATGTCCAAACCTCCTCCTCACAGTGAGCATGTTGGCCCCGAAACCCCCGTTGATCTGGTGCCCGTAGTGCCCAGCGGATTGGGAACGAGCTTGCCCTAATCTAGTGGCTTGGCGATTCCGCTCTAGCGAACTTGGAAATCTTGGAGCTCATGGCCCCCGCTTTGGCTACACGCTTTGTAGCAGTTGCCTTCGCATGTGTTCCGCCCCCCGTGTCTATGCCGAGGTAAAGGGGGCTTGCAGCACGGGAGCCACACCAATGCCACGAGTCCTGAGTTTATTGGAAGTGAATTTTTCATCTTGAAATTTGGAACATGAGACAACGCTCTTGGAGGCCACCTTGAGACCCTCCTGGTCCAGAAGCTGACGGGTGTGGCTTAGAATATGCACTAACGACTTCCGAACGAGCCTCCTGGACCCTACGACAAATTGCGACAGATGTTCCACCCGAAGTCTCATGTCTGACTGTGGGTGGGCTCGCGTCATTGGTTGAAGGACAAACTGGGTCATGAAACGGGCGAACCTCGTTCCGCTGCGGAGCCCCTGAATGATGTTCCTCTCGGGCTGGGACGCCTCCGAGCAGCAATCTCTGTGTGCCGAGGTGCGCGGAGATAGACATAATTGCAACTCAGGAACACTACTGCTGGCGGGAAGCCTAAGGACAACGTCTTGGTGGCTAACCTCCCCCAGCATATATTGGAGGAGCAGGGGGAAGCGGACAGCTCTGGGACGTGTTTGGGCCCCTTCAGGTCTCCAGAGGCCTCTTGAGGCCTTCGGAAGCCTCCGGGGGCCCGTGGGGATCCCAGGGGAGCTACAGTGACCGATCTCCAGGGATTCCCAGAAGAGCGGAGATCGCTGCGTTCGGAGAGCTTGAGCCGTATGCGAGTATGGCCGAATTTCAATCCCTGCTGCCACACAGCAAGAACATATACGAGCCCTGCACTGTTACGCTTGCAACCGTGTGCTCGTAGTACTGTCCTGGCGTCAGTGTATGAACAAGTCATGAACTCGAACGGGGCGCATAGAAATTTCAAGGAACAAATTTCAGTCTCCCGAACTACAACATATGTGTATTACTCGCAGCTGATTAAGAGACGGGCTACCCGTGAAGCCTGCTTGTTCATCAGATTTTGTGGTAGGTAAGGTCCTCGCAGGTGCCTGGCCATTATCATGATATGGGGGAATTGCGAGAACCATGCCTTAGGATATGGAGAGCAAGGGCCCCATATCAGAGAAGATGTGTCGGGGGTGGACAGACCTCCTACCCTGACACGTCGATTAAGGAATTGGCTGTTTTCGGTTCGCGAGAGGGCGTCGCGGCCGTCATTTTGCGGGTCCAGGTCCGTCGGTGTCGGTCCGAGGTCGTTTTCACTAAGGGGTGGTCTACTAAAGGGAGGTTTGTCCACCGCCGAATGTGGGCAAACTTGCCCTCGGACGACGACCTCGGTGCATCTGCGCAGGAGAGCGACCCGCGCAGGGCGATGGAGAGGAGGTACGGTGCTGCGGCGGAGGACTGCGACGTCGACCGCCAGAGGCACTTCCGCCGTTTCCTGCGCGAGCAGCAGCACTGGCTCGGATATGATGCGTACTCGCGCGTGTGCATGTCTTGCGGGCTGAACCAGATGCTGCAGGCGCTCGGAGGAGAAGAACATACCGATGCCGATGCCCTTTCCTCGGCTTTACCGTCTTGGGCCTCCTGTAGGGGGCCCTCGTCGCCACGGCTGGATTCGCTTCGGAATCCTGGTCAGAACGCTCCTTGGGAGAGGTCCGGGGAGTATTCGGTGTTGGTATCTGTGTGCTGCCCCAGGCGTTGTCCTATTCAGTGCTGGGGATCGTCTCGGCCAAGAGCTATCCTACTGCCGTAGGCGCTTTCTGTGGCATACAGTTTCTGTCCGTCCTGATCCTGCAGCTCGACATGCGCGGGGCCCTGAGGGGTCGGAAGGAGAAGTCCGCCGTTTTCCTTCTGTTGACGCTTCCTCCCCTGGTGCCCGCCTGTGTTTACTGGTCTCGCCTCTTCGCGAAGGAGTTTTGGGGGAACCGAGAGGTTTCGATGCCGCTACTCCATGGACCTCGCCCTCGGTGCGTTCTGATCAGGAGTTTGAGGCGAAGCCAGCCGTGACCACGAAGGCCTCCCAGGAGACCCAAACACGTGAACAGGAGGCAGGGGATAGCGGTAGCGGTATTCTTCCCCTGCTTGAGGAGTGGCAGGCCTTGTCGATCTCGCCTTGCTTCTTCCTTCACGGGATGTGGGCCTTGTACATGTTCTGCGAGATGAGGCCCGTGCCCCTCGGGGAAGTGGGCGGGCCGTTCGTGGCCTTGGTCCCGCAGCGGTTCCGCGCGGTCACGCACCTGAACGTGGTCAAGCTGAAGGAGGACTCGCAGGCGCCGCAGGAGGACATGAAGAAGAAACACATGCATGAACATACAGGTTCGGATATCCGCGCGGATTTCTCGGATCTGCGCGCTTATTCACCCTCATTGCCCCCCCATTAACGAACCCCCGACATAAACATGCACTTTCTCCGACGTTCGCGCGGATTTCTTGGATCGGCGCTGGGCCCCTCTGGCGACGCTTCCAGCACCGCCCCTGGCGCGCTCATCGCGCCAGGGAGGGGGCTCCAGCGCGGTCCAAGAGATCGGCGTGGGCCTCCAAAAGTCAATGCTTATGCTGTTGTGCTGTTTCTCTGAGGACGTCAGGCGCGAGCTGGAGGAGGCCCGGAGAAGTACGTCGGAGTACATCAGGGATCGCACGACGGCCGAGGACGAGAGGGGCTCCGCGACCGTCGGGGACCGCGCCTTCGCCGCCGCCGCGGTGCGGCCGCGGCTGGCGAGGGCGCTGCTGGCGGCCACAGAGTCGGGCGTGCACCCTGACGAGCTTCACAAGGCGGAGCGCATGCTGGAGCGCCTGGACCTGTGGGAGAGGGCCCCGCAGATCCTGGCCGCGCTGGAGGCGCTGAGGAACGAGCACGTGCAGGAGTACATTTCGGGGAAGGAACAACGGCACAGACATAAACGCTCGGAGGCCCGCGCGGGTTTCTTTGGCGCGCTCCGCGCGCCAGGGAGGGAGTCCAGCGCCGATCCAACGACTCCACGCGGACCTCCGAAAGTTGCTGTTTATGCAGTGTTTCGTTCCTCGGACATCGACGAGCTCCAGAGGGCCGACGTCGAGGGCACGTACAGGGAGTTCCTCCGGCGGTGTCAGGACCTCCGCCTCGGCCTCGTGCAGCGCCCTTCGGAGGGCGCCGCGAGCATCGGGGCGGCCCACCACCATGGCGGCGGCCCGTCGCCGCTGGCGGCGCTGCCGCTGGAGGACGCCGTGAGGCGAAGCGTGCGCGTGTCCATCTTCTGCGGCGCCACGCCCTACGTCGTCTGGGTGGACACGGAGAGATCGAAGAGAACGGAGCACGGCACAGTCACACACACACACACACACTCCTTCGGAGGTTCGCTGGACCCCTTGGCGGCGCCTGCGGCGCCGCCGGCTTGGCGCGCCTCTCGCACGCCTGGGGGGAGGGGGCGGGCATCCACTGCCGACCTGAGGCCATTGCCTGTACAGCTTTCCCCCCCTGCTCCTGCGCAGGAGACGGGCGCCGTGGATGAGCGGGCCGCGCCGCCGCCGGCGGGGGGCGCCGTCAGCTTCCAGGGCGCGCTGGCGGACGCGAGGGGCCTGCCGCCGCCGAGCGCGTCGCTTGTCTCGGCGGACTGCTCGGCCGCCGCCGCGGAGGGGCCCGCCGAGGAGCCGCAGGAGGCACCCCGCACACGCCACCGCTGGGCTTGGCCAGAGCCATCCTGGGCCTTACAGGTCTGGTCACAACTAGCGAGGCAAGATTGAAGTCGCACCGCGGGGAGCCAGAGTTGAGGCCAGCGCATCGAGGTGCGCGGGCGGGGATGCATCCAACCAAGAGCTCAGTGCGACGGTCAATTTTGAAGGGGCCGCTCAATAAAATGCACATACACTAGGCGCCTCAATTTTGCAGAGGCCGCTCAACGATGACGCATCGCCAACAGCCACCCGGCGGCGTCGCGTTAGTTGCGACCATCTTTGTTGGATCTAGAGGGGAAGGACACGTACCTCAGAGGAGGGCGAGTTGAGGCACCGGTGGTTGGTCTTCGGGGGGGCTTCTCGTCGCCACGGCTGGACGCAGCTGGAAATACTGGTGCGGAAGACCCCCATGAGGTGTCCGGGGACCGATTTTGAGATGCCTTTGTTTCCATTCGCCCTGCTCCGAATGTACAGCTGCCGTAGTCCGTCCGTCGTGTTCGCCTTCCTTGGCCTTCCTGGGGGGTGGGGCCTCGTCGCCACGGCCAGACTCGCATCGAAACCCTGACCGGATCTCTCCCTGGGAGAGGTCCAGGGAGCAGCGGTATCGTTACCATTGTGTATCCCTAGGGACCCAAGGATGGTGTAGAGACGATGGGCCCTCCTGGACTCGGCCAGGAGGGGGTGTATGCACCATGCCGGGCTCCAGCATGGGTCTGATCATGGGTCTGCCAGGCACGGTGGTGGTGAAGAGTTGCCTCCCGGGCCCAAGGAGGAGGGGGGCGCAAGGCGAGACTCGATGGAGTCCAAGTCTGCCGACTTCCTGCCGGGGAAGACGGTGCGGCGGTTTTCCGCCTGCACGATAGCGTGGTGGTTCCTGGCCGGCCTCGCCCACGTGACGATCGCCACCATGAAATTGGCCGGCGCCGATGTGGTGCTGCCCGACGGCACGGTCGTTTACGCCACATGGCCCGCGCCCGCCAGCGCGTTCGAGGTGTCGTCGCTGCAGTGCAACGAGACCCACCTGCTTGCCCAGGGGCCCTACGCCCTCTACGCCGCCGAGAGGCGGTCGCCCTCCCCTCTTCTCCCCTCCCCCTTTCCTGGGTCCCCTCGCTTCCCTCCCTCCCTGATCCAGTATCCTTCACCTCTTCCCTCCCCGCCCTCTCTCTTCCTTCCCTTCCCCTCCTCCGTCCCTCCCGTCTGCAGAATCCTTACCACGTCTTCCCTTCATTCCTCTGTCCGACCGCGTCCCCGCTCCTTCGTCCCTCCTCCTCCTCTTCCTCCTCCTGGTCCCCGTCCTCCTCCATGCTCCTCGGCCTCTTCCTCGGATTCGCCCTAGTCCTGTCCCGAGTTTAGGGGAGATGGTGGACGCGCAGACAAGGAAATTGCCAGGTGGAGCGGGACGGAGGATGGAGCGACGGCAGCGCAGCGGCGGCGGCACCGACAGTTGAAGCGTTGAGTGTCCCTTAGCTGTTGCAGCATGCCCTGCTTTTGGAAATCTATAGCGCAGATTGCGCAAGAAACGAAGCCTGCGGACCTTCCCATACCGAGCCTAGTATTGATTGCTCTTTGGGTGGCACGTCGAGTTAGACACTGCTCATCCTTCCGTCCTCATCCTCATCTGTCATCGCTTCCTAATTCCCCCCTCGCAGTCATCCCGTCCCACTTTCGGTCAAGTGGCCACTGGGGCCTCGCCGTGTGAGAGAGAGAGAGACAGACAGACAGTGAGCGCAACAGTTCTGGCGGAGTGTCCGTTCGGGCACGCGGGTTGGACGCACCCGCCGCGCCCCTTCTTTTGGCGGGAGGTGCCGCATGGGAAACAGGGGTAGGGAAGCGACCTAAGGCGTTGCAGCAATTTCTGCCTGGCACCTGAGACGTCCATCACTTCGCCCAGCGGTGACTGATTCAAGTAAGTCGTAAGTACAATTTTCCATCGGCCTAGTTGCAAATATCTTTATTAATACGCCGCCCGCGCGGGCGAGACCTCATCTGTCCATGGCTTCTGCGTTTTATTTTCTCCGTGGGCCAACTCGCATCGGCCGCGCGGCCGGAACATCCCGTGGCATTCTAAACGTGCCAGTTCTGTGCCATTTGATATTTATGTTTTTCTACGCCTTGACAGATTTGCGCTCCGGTGCCTCCTTTCTGGGCCCTCGCGGTTCACTGCGGCAAGTCCGATGTCCGATGTCCTGGCGTTTCTGGGTGGGAGGGGCTCGGGGGCCACAGTTTTCCAGAAAATTGCAGGTCCGCAGCTTGAAGCTCGAAGCTCAAAGGAACAACAAAAAACACTTCACGGGGCAAGCCTCCAAAGGTGACATGGCCTCGCTGAAGCTCGAAGGAGGAGGACGATGAGGAGGAGGATCCCGCGCCTCTTTGGGTTGGAGGGGCTCGAGGGCCACAGCTCTCCGGAGAACGGAAGGTCCGCAGCCCGAACGAAGCTCGAAGGAGCAGCAGGAGGGTTACCCCGCGCCTCCTCCCTCCTCCCGGAGCCACCCCCCCAACCTCGCCGCCGACGAGGCGGACGGCCGCCCTGGGCCCCTTTGGGAGGCTGGCCGCCGCCGGAGCTGCCCCCGCGGCGCTGCTCTGCGGCGGCCTGGGCCCCCCTCGGAACGCGCGACCCCCGAGCCCCTCCCCTCTCCCCCTTGACGTCGCTCGGACGTGTGCATTTCGTCTCGGCGAGGGCCATCGAGGAGCAGATTGGATGACCTTACGAAGAGCACGGGGAATGGACGTCCGAGCGATGGCTTCTCCCCTATTCAATCCCGAATGCTCGGCGCCACGGCAACACCGCTCCGTTCCTGGAGGGACCGCGCCCCGGCGCGTAGAATGGAGCGTCCGTGCGTCCGTCCCCAGAATCAAGGCTCTTAGAGGTTCTTCGAGGTCCGACGTGCAAAAATCACGGCGGAAGGTTCTTACGTACCCTCTTCGATCTCCCAGGGCCCTCGCCGGGCACATGGACTGTCAAAGGCTACTACCGGCGGCGACGATAGGGGCGAATAGCCCAGGGGCGGGCATGACACGTAATCGCCCAGGAGCTCTTTCAAATACATAGATCATCGGCGCCCCTGGATACATGTATTGCTCCCCCCTGTGCTATTCGCCCCTAGTGTCGCCCCCGATACTGGGGCAAAAAACCGGTCCCGGGGCGCTGGGGCGCTGGCCACTTGCCTAACAGGGAACGGTGCCCTCGCTCGAGTGTTGGCCACATCTTCATGCTAGGGCGCTTGTGGTCTCCATCTTGGAGGGGTTATCCGGATTTTCCAGGGGGGGCGGTATTTTTGCAGATACGGTTTTTCGATGCAACATCGTAGGTCGAGACTTTAGAGGTGTCCGCTGTGGAAAATCACGAAGTCGGAAGTCGAGGTTGAGAAGACAGAGGATCGACGTTCGAGGATCGAGGTCGGGATTCGGGGTCGAGGCTTCTGAGCGTTCCTGGCCTCTTGTGGGCATCCGCCTCCCAGACCCCCTCGCGTCTCGAAACAACAGCACAACGGACGGGTTGTGGTCACGGTTGCGGCCTCGGGGGGGCTGCCACGCCTTGGGACTTTTTAGAAAGGGTCTAGGATAAACAGCACCTTAGGGAAGGGGGCGAGCCATCTGGGGCCTAGTTTTGTTGCCCTCGTCTCCCCTGACCTCGGAACGTTTCGGATGTGTTCGGACGTCTTGAACAGTTGTTAGTTATGCTTCTTTCTGGATGCCTCCAGGGACCCCTGGTGGCCTCTGGAAAGCGCGGGGCCCTCGTTATGGGCACGCAGAAGGATTGCTGCTGCACCTCCCCTCAGGTTCAGTACGGAGACTCTGGGTTTTCGGAGGCAGTCGTTGGCCTCTTCTGCGCCTCCTCGCTCCCTGCTCGTCGAACGTCTCGGTAGTCCGACGTTACAGCAGCGTGCAGTATGTGTGAGGCCTCCCTCCTCCTTCTCCTCCTCCCCATCCCCCTCCTTCGGACTCCTGCTGCCTCTCGGCTCCCGCTCACTCGCTCCCTCGCTCCTCCACCTCCTCCGCCCCGCCTTTCCACCACGTCTCCTCAGCCCCGCTGTCGCCCCGTAGAGTCACCAACGAAGTCCTCCGAATTCACCCTGCCGCCCCCCCCCCGTCGAAGCTCGGCTGCCTTGTCCTACGGGCCGGCAGCCCTTGGCCGCGCGCGAGAGTGACCCCTCGTCAGGGTGGCCCCAAGTGCACGCCAGACCCCAGGCACGCAGTCCGCCGCTGTCGCACAGCATGCACCGATCGGCAAGCCGCGCACCCAAGAAAAGCCGCGATGGCCTCGGGCCACCCCTGCGCTTCAGCCGGTGCTCCTTCGGCCCGAGGCGACGCCCTCGGCTTGGACGGCGCCCGCGGCTGTCAGGAGCGGCGCGGGCACGACCGCCGCGCGGCCGCCGCTGCCCGCCCCGCTCGTCGATGGGTGAGGGGATCCTCTTACCCCCGCCATACCGACTAGGCATCGCTCGGACGTGTGCATTTTTCCCCGGCAAGGACCAGCAAGGAGCATTTGTGGTTCACCTTGCGAAGAGAATGCACGCACGAAGCCGAAGAGTGCACAGGGAACGATGGCCGAGCAGAGAAGCCAGGAGCCCCGAGGGAGAGGTGTCCTGGAGGGTGGCCGTTTCGGGGTCCCGGAGCCCCGCCCAGGCCACAGGACAATCGAAGCGCGACTCGGGGTTTGGAGGCTGCCAGAAGGGTTCGTTGGACAAGGTTGGTTTCGCTGGACTCAAGGCCCCCCCAGCCCGACCTTAGGCACTCCAGCACGACCTGAGGCGCCCTAGCAGCCGTCGGAATCACCCTTCTTGAGCCAGACCTTCTCGCCGTCCTCGAGGGGTGAAAGGCGGGCACCCCCCCAGGGGAGCCCCAGGGTCCAAAGCCCTCTTTTCTCGGGGCCCATGTTTTATTATGTGCAAGCCGTGGTGGCCTCACGGATGAGGGCGCTCGGAGTGGCACATTCCAGTGGCCAGGCCTTCCCGCCCCCATGTCTGATCTGATGCGCTCCGTGGCGTTCATTGTTGCCGCGGAGGTGCACGTCCGAGGAAGGCGCGATGACCGGTTTGCCGCCTCGATCGGTTCTTTTTCGGTTTTCTCGGGCGTTCGTCAGTGCGTTCGGTTTTCGTGGCACGTGGGTCAGGCCCTCGGTCGGTGCCCCTGCGGAGTTTCCGAAAGCGGCCCGTCGGATGCAGCCGACCCTTGATACGACGTAGTTGAACCCCCTTCCCTCCCTTTGTCTCGCAGTTTGGGGCCACGGCTGAACGCAGCTCAAAAAGCTGCTCATGACCGCGTGTGTGACGGGTGAGGCTGCGGACTTTGAGGGTCTGGGGGCTTGTCTTGCCTTTCGATGCTTCCGAGGGCCATCGGGGACCTCCGTATACGTCTGGAGCCTTCCACAATCCTGACTAGGTCTAGAGGGGACTCGCCAAATTCCGCCCTTGAGGCTTTCGCGTTTTTCGCGCCCCGAGGGCCATCTCCAGGCCATGAGGTTGTCGAACTTGTATACGGGAAGAACCAAGGGCTTAAGGGAAGGTGTCGACAACTCGGGGCCCGCGATGTCCAAAGGTCGAGGCGTCGGAGATTTGGGCAAGGGGGGAGCGCGGACATTCGCTCGACTGGCCGTGGGTGGGCATGGATCAGGTTCCTGCGGCGCCGCAAGACGGCGCCCTGAGGAGTGGATGTTGCGCTGCACCAGGGCTGAGTTGATTCCTCCACGGGTCAAGTGGATTGAGCTGAATCTTCTTCTTCTTCTATTTCCTTATCCTCATCCTCTGCATCCTCCTTCTCCTCCTCTCAGTCTATGGATTCCTCTTCTTCCTCCAGGCGAAAATTCCAAGCGCATACAGATACACCGATCTTCCCGACGAGATCGCGTTCGACGGTGGAGAAATCTAGCAGCAAGCGAGCGCAGGCTGAAAGCAAACAGTTATTGTGCGGCCATGGGCCATGGCCCAAGGAGCTCCAAGCAACTGCATTATAATACGGGGTTCTCTCTAACATCCGAATTGATGCGTTGCGCTGTCAATGTCATCGTTCCGCGCATTCCGCTGGCCCAGTTGAAGGAATATCTCAAAATCACAGGGCGTACCATGGACTGAAGAGTGTAGGAGATGTGGAGGAGAGGGGTGACAAGGACGAGGGTAAGGGGAGGGGCACGGGGGTGGGGAGGGAGGAGGACACAGAAGAGTAGAACGAAGGCGAGGAGAAGGATTACCGCATTGGATCGAGGCTTGTCCTAAAGAAGTCGAGATGTGCCTAGCTCGCATCAAGTCCGTGCGAATCACACTTCGAACATGATTCGATATTGATTTAGTGTGTTGGCTGATGGTACCCCCCTAACATCAGACGACATAATGGTTTTCCATGAGCGGACGCCTGGGACCATACCCCGCGGGACGCCCCTGGGCTGCCCCATGGGCCCGAAGTCAGAGCCCCAGGAGGCGGGTATCGACGAGAAAGCGCCAGGATCGAAAACGCCAGTCCGTTAGTGATCGTTTTCTTATTCATTGTTTTGCCGATTGGCGCGGGCCCTCGCAGCCCCTCCCCCCATGGAGTGGATCTCGGCTGTTTTTGGCGCCTGTCACAAGCAGGTGGAGTCTCTCCCATAGGACGCACTGTTGTAAACAGTCGCGCTAAGCAGAAGTCCAGAGCCAGACCCTCCCCCCTGCCCCCCCCTTCCGCCCAATGTCGAAACGCCGAACAAGAAAACGTTCACCAGGTCTGGGTCCGCTGCGGCTCGATTCGGACTCCGATCTTCCCCATCCTGGTGCATCGGCTATGCGTCGCCATCTTCCGACCCCGTGTGTCCGCACCCCCAAATTGAGCACGGAAGAGCACGGAGTCGTTTGCGCGAACATTCGCGCGCAAATTGCCCGCTCAGGATGGTGCGTCATCTTCCACTGTAGCGTGCCGCGCTGGCGGCCCGCGCGAGCTGCGGCGCAAGGTCTGTATTTTTTCTCGGGTAAGACCCGTCCCGCTTCGTCGCTCACCGGGGCGGTGCCGTTCCCGGACCCCGTAGGAGTTGCACATACGGGACGCAGGCGCGGGCGGCACCACGGCGTCGCTGAGGGCGGCGTCAGCCGCCGCAGGCGCCGCGGGCGACCCGCCGCGCGTCCCGGTCCCGCCCGCGTGGCGCCTGCCGGCCCTGACGTGCGCGTCGTGGGCGTGCGGCTCCTTGCTGCTGGCAGCCTGGGACGGCGAGGCCGTGGTGGTCTCGTCGCTGAGCCGCGCCGCCGATGGGCACGAGGTGTCGGGGGTGCAAGAGCCAGAGGAGGAACAGATATCGATAATACCGCCACCCTTCCCGCGTCGCAAGGGCTGAGCGCACCTCGAAATCATGGCCAGAACGCACCCTAGGAGAAGCCCACGAAGTAGCGGCATCGGCATCTGTTTGTTTCCCCGAAGAGCTTCCCGGTTGCACCAGTGCCTAATGCTTCAGTACGCCGGCCCGCAGGGTCCAGGCCGTCCTGGGCCCCAGGGTGGCGCGTGCAGGCCCGAGGCCAGGAGGGCGGTGTGCAGCCACGCAGACGGCGTCACACGTAAGGCCACGCTATGCAGCCGCGTAAACGGCCGCAGTAAACAGTCACGTATACATCGGGTATAGCTGGGACCCCAGGCAAGGGGACCCGGTTAGTAGTAGGGCCCCAGAGCCCCTAAACCAGGTCTGACGTAGCTGGAGTTTTTCCGGGTGACGGCAGTTCCGGTTCGTGGAACGGGGCTTGGGGGGCGCCCCCAAGTACACATCATTAAACCAAGTCCCACTAAACCCAGTTCTGCCAACGCCCGAATGCAGCTATACCAGGGCCCCAGATGGCCTTCATTAAGCGCTGCTGGTGGTATCGGTCCCCTTTGCGTCAGGAGCGCATGCGCGCTCCGCTCCGCGCGCGCGTGGCCGTCCTTGCCTCGCAGCGTTCAGGGGCAACGATAGGGGGGGATAAGCATAGGGGAGGGGGCATCGACCCCCAATCGCCCACGGATCGCCGACGCAGGCCCGATCGCCCCAACCTGCCCAGGACCGTGCGGATTGACTATCGGTTGCTTTTTGCCGATCTATCGGCGATGCATCGCCGATTCCAGGTTGATGTGCCCCCCCCTATGCCAGTCCCCCCCGATCGTTGCCCCGCCAGCGTCGCCACCCCGGACCGCTGCAGGGGCAGCAGGATCCGTGGCACCAGGGGCACGTCCCGGCGGCGGCTTTCTTTCGCCCCGTCCCGAAGAGGCCCTCGCTGGGCCACGGGGCCCTCGTCCCTGGCTGGCGCAGCACGGGGGGTCCATTGTGCAGATCGGAAAGGGCGGGGTCTGGAGCCCCGACGGGTGGAGGCGTCGTTGGAGGGCCAAGCCTACCTGCTTCTGGAAGGCCAACATTGGCGCCGATGCCAAATACCGTTTTCACGTTCTAGCCGAAAGCGTCTATGGACACAGTGGGTGCCATGACGTCCATAGACACTTTCGGGGTGGATACGGCTATGGGCAACGTGGCCGTTGCGTTCGGCGCGGTGCAAGGCCGGAGAAAGGGTAGATCCGTCTACGATATGTTCCTGTTTTAGAGCAGGTCCCACATGGTGCTCCAAAAGCGTCGGAGGCTTGGAAGGTTGCCTTCTGCGAGGGAAGTCTTACCAGGCTTGTGCGGGCCATTCTGCTAGAGTCTCGTCGCGTGGGAGCTGGGCGAAGAGCTCGTGCGATCTGGACCTCCTTCGAGAGCCACGGCCGTGGTGGTGAGAGGTGCCCAGCCAGCGAGGAGGGCCACGTCATCTTGCCTCGCGGTGCTTGGCAGTGCCCTCCCGCCAGGACCTCCGACGACGTGTTGACTTCTGGATCCCGTCCTGGGGACCAACTTTCATCTTGGGTCGTGTCGTGACTGCCCCAGGGCCCTGAAACAGCTCCTGGAGGCCGAGATTTGCGATAACAAAATATAATTTCATATGGCGGGTGCCTGAGCCATGAGGCTCGGCGAGGTAGACCCTCTTCCCCTCACCGTCCTCCGTCCTCCCCTCCATCCTCCCTCCCCTCATCGTTTGAATCTCCGGTCATTGCGTCCAGGCCGATTGGATGGCGCTCCGCGGGTGCTGGAACCATGAGGCTCGGCGAGGTAGGCCCTCTTCCCCTCCCCGTCCTCCGTCCTCCCCTCCCTTCTCCCTCCCCCCCTCGGTTGAATCTCCGGCCATTGCGTCCAGGCTGGCTGGATGGCGCTCCGCGCGTGCCGGAGTTATGAGGCTGGGCGAGGTAGGCCCTCCTCTTCTCCCCGTCCTCCATCCTCCGTCCTCCCCTCCCTCCTCCTTCCCCTCCTTTCTTGAATCTCCAGCCACTGCGTCCAGGCCGGCTGGACGGCGCTCCGCACGTGCCAGAGCAATGTTGCTCGGCGAGGTTGACCCTCTTCTTCTCCCCGTCCTCCGTCCTCGGTCTTCCGTCCTCCTCTCCGCACTCCCCCTCTTCCTCCCCCTTTTGTTTTGCAGGTGTGTCCGAGGCTTTGCTTAGGGTCCTTCGTCCGTCCCCTAGCGGGGTCGGGACTGCCTCCTTTTTCTTCTCCTTCCTCCCTCCTCCTCTCCCTCCCCTCCCTCCTCTCCTCCTGCTCCCCCCCCTCGTTTGAAACCTGGAGGTGGCGTCCCGCCCCTGCGGGTCAAGCCGCGGGTGGTTCGCAGCGCCCCGGGCCTCTTGGCCACTTGTCCCTGGTAAGGGCGGTTCGCCTGCAGCGGGTGGCCGCCTGCCGCGCGGTGAATTTTTTGTTTGTTCCTTCCTCCTCGCGGGAGTTTCACTCCAATCTTGACCACTATCTTGAGAGCCGCCTAGCTCTCACAGTACCGCCCAGCTTTCGCTTTGCCTCCTTGCCCCTCCTCCCTCTCTCCTCCCCGCCCCTCTCCGCGACGCTAGCCTCGGCCGCGCGGCATTCGCTGGGGCGTCCGCCCCGTTATGTTTCTTGTGCTGTACCGCTAAAGTCTTTGTCCCCCTCCTGTACCCAGGAGCCGGGCTTCTCTAGGGATGACTCGCGTTTATGCTTATTTGCCGAGCCATTTTGGCTAGGGGCTAAGGCCTCGGGGAGGCACGAGGGGTGTTCCGCATACCGCGGTCGCGCGCATCAGAACGCGCGCGGGAGGTCCGTTCTCGAGGAGTTCCCGTCAGGGGTCTGTCGCTCTTCTCCTTCTTCCTTCTCCTCCTCTTCCTCCCCCTCCTCCCTCCCCTCACCCCGCTGGCGCTGATACGTTTTAGGGGTTCATTCGTATCGCTCCAAGCTCTTTTCCTGGAACCCGCGGTGGATTTATGGACGAGTGGATCGGCAGGGTGTTCGTCGTGGAGGAAAAAAAATTGCGCAGAACACGGAGCCAGCGCAGCTTGGGCGAGGCTCGAAGAAGCTTGGGACGAGCGACGGCGCCAGCAGCAGCTGGAGCGGGAGCGGGAGCGGCCCTGGTTCGGGAGGGGGGCCCTGCAGGCGCGCAGAAGGGAGTGCCGTGGGCGGGAGCCCGCATCCTCCTCGGCCTCGCTGTTCGGGCGCTGTGGTTGCGACGTCACATGTCTAGTGCAAAGAACGTGCATGGGATCGCGTCTCCAGGGGAGTGCGCCTCGGAGTCCAGACCTCGAGGGCACGGATATGGAGTTGTTCCTCACCTGTGGGGGCGGTCGTCGACGTCGTCGTTTCTGGAAATCGTCGAAATCCCCGTCTCATTATCGAAATCATTGGTGTTCATCATATTACATACGTAGACGAGCGAACATTAAGATCATGGGAATATCTGGGGCGCCCATGCCTCCGAAAACGTCCATCTGATTCGATTCCCCTCCTCGATCCTGCCGCCCCTCCACGCAGAGGGAGAGGATGTGGTCGGAGCCCGACGTGTGACCACATGCACTTCTTGAAACTCGAGTCTCCAACAGCCCCTGGGGGTGCACGTGGTCACTTTTTCAGTCACCTGGGGACAGAGAACGTCACTGTCTCCACCTCTCGAAATCATCCGTCAACAGGTTCCTTGGGAGTCGTGGCCTCCGCTAACAGAGCGTCTATACCACCCCGAGGCCCAGTGTGGCTCTGGCCAGGCCCCGTAGCGTGCAGCTGATTTTTGCGTGTGGCGGATCAGGGCACCCGAAATCCCCATGTTGGCCGGTGTTCCATCCTGGATGCAATTTCGACGGTCCCCAGGGCCCAAGCCCAGGCGCCCAGGCGCCCAGGGGCCGAGATCTCGAGGAGAGCCCTCCTGCGCGCTTGCCACGCAGCCCCGCGAGAGGCCCGCTGGACCCTTGAGCCTGGCTTCCGGCTGACGCCCGCCCTCGCCCCGCGCTGCCCGCCCATCTGGGCCCAGCGTGTCGCGGGGTGCCTCACCGACGCCGCGGGCGGCGCCGCGTACGGCGGCATTCGCGGGCTCTGGCTGGGGCCCAGGCAGGGCCGCCTCTGCAATCCTATCCGATGCGATCCGATTCGCCAGCTGGGGCCGCGGTTCCGACTCGATAAGATCCAGCTAGATTCACCGGCATCGGCCAGGGCTTGCCAGAGCTGGGCGCGGCAATCCGATTTCGATTCAATTCGGGGGCATTCGCTGGCGATCCGATCTGTTGCCGATCCGATCCGATTTGGCGACTCGATCCAGATCAGGCCTTCCAGGCGGGACGTCGCTTCCGACGGTCACCACCCACCGAACCACCCCAACCAACCCGAAGGCCCCAATTTGCTCTCCATCCCCAGTGGGGGGGGGCGCCAGAGAACACTGAAAGAGTACATGTGGATCGGGTTAGGTTGGGGTGGTCTGGTACGCAGTCCGAAGGTGCTGCCGTTGTCGACGACGGCCACCACGGCCACGACGTCGACGACGAACGCGCTCCCTGGGGGCTCTTGGCTTCCAGGCCGGGACCCGTCGCGGGCCTGAGGCGTGCTGTGGGCTCCGGCGTCAAGGTTTTCGATGGCGCAGTCTTCGTACGTCTTTTGTTTCGCATGTTGTTCGTTGCTTCTCGGCCACCACGCGCAGAGGGAGGTAAGGGGAGAGGGAAGTCTTCTTAGAAGCACCCCTGGTTCTTAGAAGGCGCGGGCCTTTTCTGCAGATGGAGGGTCGGCGCCTTCTAAGAAGCTGCCTCCTTCTAAGAAGTCTTCCCTCGTCTCCCTCCCCCCTTCTGCGCGCCGCCAAGCCTTGTGAGCTTCGGAGGGATGCCTCCACCTAGGCCTCCCCTGTCCCGTGCAGAAGACGGTTCTGGATGACAGAGGCGATTGTACGTAAAGCTCCCGAGGTCCAGGGTCCGGTTCCCACAGGGCAATTTTGCGACAAGGACACGTCCCCGAGTTCAGGTTCAGGGCCAGCACGGAGGACGAAATTTTGTACACTGGGCGTCGGGGTCCGGATGGGGAGGGGGCCCCTCTGGCCCGCGATCAGGGGCGCCTCGCTGGGGGTGTTGGCCAGCGGCGGCAGCTTCCTGGACGGCTGGGACCTTGAGCGGGGCGTGTTCCTGGGCCGTTGGCAACTCGGGGGCGGAGCTGCCGTGGCGGCGTGCCACGGCGGCCAGGAGTGCTGCCGGAAGCTCTCACGCCGGCGGCGCGCCGAAGGGGCTGGCGCGAGGGGGTCGGCTCTTCCAAGAAGGCAGAGGGTCCTAATCTTTCAGGCGATCGCAGACATGGATCAAGGGGGCGTGGATTACAGTCGGCCCGGATTAGTAGGTCGACCCTGCCAATTCAAGGGTACCCTTGTGTCCTGTGTCTCGCGACCCATGCCTTCTTGCATTCCTATGGCGATGTGGCCCTCGGAAGGGTCTTGTGACCTCTCGCGTGTCTTGTCCAATGAAGTCCGACTGTAGCGGCGGGTCCCGTTTCCATGGGAAATCATGAATTTCTGCCGCCGAACGAGGCGGCACCGGCTGCATTCTGGGGAGGACACCTCCCCCGATCCATGGAATTGGCGACCGCGCGCCAAATCCATAGATCGCTAATCCATGTTTGCGCGCCCCCGACTCTTGGCATCGCTCGGACGTGTGCATTTTTCTCGGCGCGGACCATCGAGGAGCCTTTGGGGTCATCTTGGGAGGCACGAGGCCGAAACACGCATGGGGAATGGACGTCCGAGCGATGGCGAGTACTGCCCTCCCTGAAGCCTTCTCAGAGGCCTCCGAGCCCCTTTCAAAGAGGCCCTCCTGCCTTCTCGGAGATCACCCCCCGCATGAGCGCCGCCAGCGAAGAGACGGGGGGTAGAGTTAAGTCGGGCCTGTCCCTCCACAGGAGGAATATTCAAAAATACAGAAAATGCTCTGGAGACGATTTTTTTTACATTTTGGGGATAGTTTGAATCTTTTTTAGATTATTCTGAATTTTTCGCCCGAAATCCCCCTGTAGGGGGACATGCCCGACCTAAGGGTAGAGACGTAGCGAGAAGACACATCCTTCCATCATCCCCCAGGCGTTCTCGAGCCCTTCTCTCCCACACTTTGGGAGGGAGATGTCCTCCAACCTCGCCCCGGTCCCTAAAACCGAGATCCGCGCTCGCCCCAGGAATGGAGCGGAACCGTAGGAAGCAGCTCCCATTGACCAGGAAAGAACCGAAATTCAGGTCGGCCCTCCCTCCAGCAATTAGAGAGCCGGGGCGCGAAGATAATTGCTCTTTGCGATGCTTCGCGCGTCGTTGTCTGAACTGGGGAGCCGCCTCTCTCCAGGGGGGTGCGCGAGGGTGCGAAGGTGACCGCGCATCGCGGGGCCTGGCCCGCGATGCTTGGCGACCTAGGATTTAGGAAAGGAACAGGGACGAGGATGATTGACAGCAGTTTCAGTTAGTACAAGGCTCGCTGTCGGTCCCGAGGCGAAAGTTGTGGTGTCAGGTTTGATGTCGATCGCAGTCTGCCCAGCCGCTGTTCGTTTCGGACGTCAGTCACTTTTGGATATCGTCACCATGCTCGCCATGAAAGATATGGAAAATTGTCAGTTTTCGGGCACCCAGGGCCTTTCCCTGGCCCCCGAACCGTCAAACAGCAATTCAGGATGGTTGGTTCTGGGGACAGGCCACGGTATGTCGGACCTGTCTCTGCCAGGACTTGTTTCATGCCAATAGTGTTTGTTGTTCTTATCTCGTCTGGGAACGAGAAACGTGATAACATACAAGTTTGTAAGTCCGCGCTGATTTTTCGTGTTGAAGTTGAAACCCCTCTTGTCTGCGCCTCCGGCGCCACCAGGGGAGAGGGGATAAGAAGGGTCCAGTGCCGACTCAAGAGATCCTTGCGGGTATCCGAAAGTTTCTGAGTACGTTGATTTTGTTCCCAGCGCTCCAATGTTGTTGGGTCCTTGGTTTGAATCCGCAGTTCCGCGAGTCGCCCAACTCCTCCCCCTCCTCCCTGCCCCTGCCCTCCAGATGGCCGTCTCGGCACACCCCTGACACGTTCCGTGTCTCTTAGAGCTCCACTTATGGTCTCAGTGTGCCCGTGAGACTGCGGGCCCGCGCCCATGTCGGCACACCACTCGCGAGGATCGTGGGCCACAGGCAGCTCCACCTTCGGTCTCAGCGGGTACAGCCGCATGTGGGCCCGCGTCCATTTCGACACACCCCTCATGAGGATCGAAGCTATCGAACTGCGTGTTCCCCCAGCCATTGTGGAAACCCTCTTGGGAACACGTGGATGATTAAAAAGAAGAGGAAAGGTAGGATAAACGAAGAGGATGAGGCTTCTTTGAGGTTTCTTCGGGCACTCTGTGGGGCCTGCTGTGAGCTTCCTGGGGGCCTCTTGGAGGCCTCTTGGAGGCTTCCTTGGGCTTTTTAGAGGCCTTCCAAGGTTCTCTAGGAAGCTGTTTGGCTGTCTGAAGGCGTTCTTGGCCCGTCGGAAGCCATCCTGGGGGCCTTTGGGCCGACTTGGGACTTTCTGGGGGCGATTCACAGCGGTCCTTGGGGTCGTCTTGGGGGCGTCTTTGGCCGTCAGGACGCCATCTCGGGGGCCTCGGACGCTCTTGAAGCGATCGTGGTGTTGGTGTCAGTGGCCATCTTGGGTTGCCGGAAAGCCGAAAATGCACAAACGTCAACATCTCTCAAAAGCACACGGCAAATCAATGTTTTCGGGGACTTACGTTATTGCCCTTCAATATATCGGGCTGTCGTGACCAGTTTCTGAGATGGCAATCGTCGCTGCCATCCTGGTTCCAGAGCTTCAGCGCGCCGAGGGCCCGGCGCCACCTGGCATGGTGGCGGGCCTCTGCGCAGCCGCGGCGGCGGCGTTCCCCGCCGCGCTGCGCGCCCCCGCCGCCCCAGGTGCTGGCGGCGGCCGCGGGCGTGAATGTGGCGACGGAGACGCCGCAAGGCGCGGCCCTCCGACAACGACGCTGGCGCAGCCCCCGCGCCACCTCCCGCGGCCCCGCCGCCGGCCGAGGGGGCCCAGCCCCGCCCCGTCGACCTCCACGAGGCGCTAGCCGACCAGCCGCGCGGGGAGGTGGAGGGCACCCCCTCGCCGAGCGTGGAGACGGCCGGCCCCCCGACCCCCGACGGACAACGCGCGGGCGATCGCTGTGGAGAGGAACGAGCAGGGCGCCCGCTTCAACGAGTGGCGCCGCGCGGCCGGGGAGAGCAGCGCGGAGGCCAGCCCGATCGTGCGCGGCATGCTGAAATGCCAGATCACGATCTTCCGACTGGCGGGGGCGTCCGACGCCCTGGCCATTGGCGGGCTGGCCTGCCCGTGGGCGGCGGCGCCGAGTGGCCCAGATCAGCGAGGCCAATCTCGCGGCGCCATGACAGCCAGCCGCATTGGGCGATGGCAAGTTCCTCTAGCACGTACCTGACCGGGGCGCGCGGCCATTTCGATGCGGCGCGGCCCAAGGGCGCAGCCGCGCGTCGGCGCCGGCCGGCCGCGGCGCCTGCGGCGCGGCGGGCGCGCTCCCAGATGCCCCTCCCTCCAGAAATCTGGGGTGCGCGAACAGGCGTTTGAGATCTGGGGATCGACAGGTGCACGCTCCAATCTGGGGGGCCCAACTCTGAAGTTAGAACCTGGTCCTGCTACCCAAAATGCGGGGGGCGGCAGATCCGTATCGGGGGGGCGATGCGCGCCCAAATCTGGGGCGCGGCCAGTCCAGATCTGGCGGGCGAGCATCATATTGCAGTCGCATGAAGTTTGACGCCCTTTCGCATCGCAAAGCGTTCGGATCTGAACTGTGACGAAACTTCCGACAAATGATGGCGGTGCCTATGATATCATAACCCAAGCAGCTATGAGGTCTGGTCAGCCTTACGATGCGGAGTGCGTCTGAAGTTTGTCAAACTTCCGATCTGATGTCTGTCTTGCGCTCGACGAGCTTCAGGCGACGGCGCATCGCACTTCAGTCGCATAGGGGAAGCGACCGGTCCATATCTGGGGGCGGCTGATCTGCATCTGGGGAGCGATAACCCTTCACATTCTGGGTAGCGGCTGAGTCTGAAGATTGGTTGGGTTCACCTGATTTTGACGCCGTGCCAGTATTTGGGAAGTCCCCCTGATTCAATCCCGCCCCCCAGATTCCCGGAGAGCGGGGCGCCCTGGCTGGGGGCGGGCGGCCTGGCCCGCGCCGGGGCAAAGGATGGCGTCGAAGGTGGCGGCGGCGGTCGCGGTCGTGGACGGAGGGCGATGTCTGGCGAGACGACGGCCGCCGCCCTGCCGGACGCAATGCCTGGGTCGGGGCCGCCCCCCCAGCTTCGCGGCAGAGGCCGCGCGCGGCCGGCAGGCGTTCCCGGCCCCTGAGTTGCGCGAGCTGGACGCCAGCGTCGCGGCCCACCGCGGCCGTCGCGTCGGCCACGGGTTCGGCGGCTTGCGCGCGATGGCGCGCCCAGCCTGAGGTCGATGCACGCGGTGATCGGCGGCGGCCGTTGGCGCCGCTCTGCCTGGCCGCGAGCGGCCGCGTGGCGGAGCCGCAGCGCGAGGCGCAACGGCGCCCAGCTTCTGGCGGCGAGCCGGGGCGGCCTGGGCGGCGCGGGCGATGCGCAGCAACGTCGCGCGCGACTGCCGCGGGGCTGAGGCGGCAACGACCAGTTGGCCCACGCGACGCTGACTTCGAGGGCCTCATAGCGCGTCTCCCTTTGGAGGTGGGCGACACTGCGCTGCGGTCTAGTCCAACCGCGTGCGGACCCTGTCCTGAAGCGCCAGCGGCGGGCCCGCGTCGGCCTTGCGGAGCGCCCGATGAAGGTCGGCCCAGCGCGGACGTCGACCAGGTCTGGCCCTTCTTCGCCTAGAAAGGCGATCGCCAGCAGCGCATTAGGGGCGGCCGCCCGCAATTGACCGTTCAAGAGCCCGCCGGGCGTCAACATGTTCGGCGGCGACGGGCTCAGCCGCGTCGAGCGGGCGACGCCGCCCGCCGCGGACGAGGCCACCGAGGAAGCAAATGTGCTCGCTGGCCTCGAGACCTGGCCGGGCGTCAGCGCCGTGAAGGACTGCGCCCGTCGACTGGCTGCTCGAGGGCAGCCCAGGGCCCCAAGAGTTCGTCGGGCGCCCGCTCCTACAGGCCGCCGACCCGGGGCCGGCGCGTCTGGGCGGGGCGTTGCTGGGCCAGCTGGGGCCAGACGCTCGTGCACCCGCCAGCTAGGGCGCTGCCGATGGGCTGGCTGCGCTCGCTGCGTTTCGCGGGCGGCGAACTCGCGCCGTGCGCTGA